AGCTAGGTGGTCCAGGGACCTGGCGGTTGCCCCCCGACCCGCAACTCCGCGGGGCTGCACCCTTTCGCCCCCAGCCCGGGAGCCCCCCGGGAGCCCGGCTTTGTTCCCACGTTGTACGCCGCTGTGGGAGGTGGTAGAGGTCCTGAGCATGCAGAAAGCGGCGGGTCCCCTCCCTGGCTTCCCTTCCTCCCTGTCTTGCCTTTTCCTCTGTTTTTTTTTTTTTTTTCTTCTTCTTTTTTCTTTCTTTCTTTCCCTGCTGTTGGCTTCTCTTTCCGCTGCTTTCCTAGTCTCTCCTCTTTTCTCCAGTCTTTGTGTGTGTGTTGTTCCTATAAATATATACTGATAAAATTGGAACCATACCATATGTACATTTTGGTGTCTTGCATTTTCTACTTCACATAATGAGCATTTCCTACATCGTTAAGTTTTCCAAAACATGATTTTAATGACTATAAATTCCATCAAGAAATCGCAGGACTATAATCTTTAAAAAGTTAAAAATATGACTCTCATACAAACATAGGGTGAATGTGGCAAAGATTCATTGGGTTCATTCTTGAGGCAGTGAATGGAATGGTGAAGCCAGTTCAGGAAAAGGAGTGGTACAGGCCTTGGAGGAAGAGTGTGGAAATCTTGTTCTTGGACAGATGCAAAAGTGGTCAGTGCCCCATGGGGCCAGACGACCAGAGACCAGATTTCTTAGTTGTCTTGCTACCAAGGTGAAGTCATTTGCATCTCTACGGACCAGAAATCTACAGTGAGCACACACAGTCGTTTAATGAATAGTAAATAAAAACAAGTCAGACAGCTCCATTCCCCTAGATAATTTAGTGATCCTGGAAGGGCTCTTAAACAATGCTGCAATGTGACATCGAGAGGACATCCTGCTTTCTCTTTGCCTTGTTTCCAAGTTTTGGACATTTTTTTTTAAAAGATGTACTGTGCTCCTCCATTACTGAGCCTTTAGATTGCTTTCAGTATTTTTTTTTTTGCATCATAAAGATCATTTCATTTTTTAAATATTCCATTAAATATCATGTAATTCCTTTTTTTTTTCTTTTTTTTTTGCCAAGAGTCTGGACTTACTCAGAAATACAGAATATCAAGCACTTCACATAGTGCTCAGAAAACAGGTAATGGGTAAATGAATGCATTGCTTCAGATTTTTAGCAAAATGATGAATCTGATGCAAGGCTAATGAGATGATTTTTAGGATATATTTTGATTGAGAACACATTATACCAGTAACCTGAAAAGAAAGAATCACTCAGAATCCCATCACTCTAACAACACAGCTAGGGCCATCTTTTCTCTCATCCACTACATTCTGTGTGATTGATGTGGTTGGTTTAGACAGAATTGATTTTGGAGATCTCACCCTCATCCCCAGGAGTCCTATGGATTTAGCCTGGTTTTATGGAGACTGATTTGCCTAGGTTTGGGGAAATGACCACTTTATTAAGATTGTCTACAGCCAGTGTTGGAGGGTGCCACTGCCTAGAACAAGTCTCTCCTCAAACAAGTTACAATTCGCCTTTCTTAAAAAATAGGATTCCTGCCACCTCCCTCCCAGGGCTGTAATGAAGATGAAGGAAAGCTGGGTGGTGAGATTGATTTGGAAAGTAGGGAGTGTCATCCAGATGCAGACTTCCCATTAGGAAGCTCAAGTTCATGCTGGGATGCTTTGTGGATTGAGAAGCAATTTCACAGTGACTCTCCCCAGTAATTCTATGAGATGGGCAGGCAGGTATCATTATTTTCATCCTACAGATGAGAATACTGAAGCACAATTGAAATACTGCCCATGGCCTTAACTCCAGAATATGCCCAGAATCCAACCACTTCATTCCTCTCCACTGATGTAATTCTCGTCTGAGGCACCGTCATCGCTCACCAGGGCTCCTGCAAAGTCTCCAGCCTTGCCTTCTGCTTTTACTCTCCCTTCTTCCCCTCTCCCCCACCCAGCAAGCCCAACAATCTTTTAAAAACTGCATACAGATCATATTGCTCTGTATTTAAACCCTCCAGTACTTTCCAAGTCTATTTATAATAAAATCCAGACACTTTCCATGGCCTCTGTGATACCAGACCCATGGCTGTCTTGCTGACCACGTCTCCTACCAACTTCCCCCTCATTCACTAGACTCCAGCTACCTTTATCGGCTGCTGCTTCCTTGCACAGGCCAAGTCCACTTCTGCTCACGCAGGGCCATTGTGCCTGTGGTTCCTCTACCTGGGGCCTCTTCTTCCAGATCTTTGCACAACTGCCTTTTTTCTGGTCCCTCGGGTCTCAATGAAATGCCACCTTTGCTGATCATCCTGTCTAAAATAGGGATCCCTCCTTCAGTGTCTCTTTATTCCATGACCCCATTGTACCACGAGAATACTTGCGTGTTGTCCATCTCCCACCTCTAGAAGATAAACTGTGAGGAGTACAGAGCCCTTGCTACCCCTGTTGAGCACAGTATTGCCAACACCTAGCAGAGTGCCTGACCCTTAGTAAATGCTAAGAGCCTGGAATCCAGCAGGTCTCCTAATGACCCAGTATGGGGTTCTTCTCAATCACAGTGCATGTGGCTCAGCTAGGGTGCAGAGGTCTGGGATTCCAATGGTTGTGCATTTTGTGTTGGCAGGAGGAAAAGGGGAAGGCAGCCCCCAGCCACAGCATGAACTAATAATACCTCAGTGGAAGGCTGCAGAAGGCCCTATGGGAGAAAAGGTAAGACCAAAAGCTCTCCTTTTCAGAGGCAAGAGTTGACAACATCATTCTGTGAGGGTGGGGGCCACCTACTTGACTTTCCTGGAGGCCCTGTCATCACCGTTAGTTCTGTTTCTGACCCACTGTATCCTGTCTACTTGTCACTTTTGAAATCCCAGATGGGACTTTCTTTCATCGTGTGACACACTTCTAGAACTCTTTCAAATGCTATTAGTTGAGGAAATGAAAATCCACATTAATGCTGATACAAGCTAATTGCAAATATGTGTCACAAAAATCACTGGCTCTATTGGAGTTAATTAAATATCGCCATTGTTATTTTTGCTCTGCGTAATACATGCTTCGTTTTATTGATGAGGTAATGTACGTGGAGAGAAAATGCTAATCGAAACCCTTCTATCCTAAATAATAAGAGGCTAATATGCAAATTGACCAAACAGCAGAACGACCGGTCGTTATGACTTGCACTAACCACCAGGGGGCAGACGCTCAATGCAGGTGCTGCCCCCTGGTGGTCATTGTGCTCCCACAAGGGGAGCGCTGCTCAGCCAGAAGCCAGGCTCTCAGCTGGCCAGCGCAGCAGTGGTAGCAGGAGCCTTTTCCACCTCCGCCGCAGTGCTAAGGATGTCCGACTGACAGTTTAGGCCCACTCCCTGTCAGTCGGGCATCCCCTGAGGGTTCCCAGATTGTGAGAGGGCACAGGCCGGGCTGAGGGACTCCCTCCGCCCCCCCGTGCATGAATTTCATGCACCGGGCCTCTAGTCTACACTAATAAAAGATAAAAATGGTAATTGGCGTACGACGCTACCCTTTTCATTGGCTAATCAGGGCTATATGCAAATTAA